GTAGTGAGTTTGAAGATTGGGGGCTGACCAAGGAAAACNACAGCTTGAATGGGAGGGAAATCCCTCACTCTAGGAGACGTTGTGGAGACAGAAGTAGGGCTACCACCCAAAAGGGGGAGAGGGGGATCAGAGAAGGGGCTTCTGTGACTAGGGGATGTCACCCAGCAGCATGGTGGGGAGTCTCTGAGTCACAGAGCTCCCAAGGGCAGCAGCCATTTGGGGTCTACTGTAGTCCCAGGGTTTGTCTTATCTATGACTAGAGGATGTTGGGTATGGTTTTGCAGTTTATGCAAAGCAGACTCTAAATAGAGAAGGAACAAAAGGGCTTATTCAGGCTATATTTAAAACAACTGGATGTTAAGAGTTTGAGTTTGGCTCCAGCAGGCTTGAACTAGCAGTCCCTGCCTGTGGTGTGAAATAAACAACGTAAGGGCCGACATGTAGGGACCATCTTTATGTAACAGTAATTTACGAAATGAGAGTCACACTGGACAATGCCTTACAATAAACTTCTTTCACTTGAGATCTATGAACCTCCTTCTGTGTTATTATATAACCCTTCGACACTCTGAGGGTTTTATCAGTGGAACTCTTTTACCCAATGTATTATTTCATGGAAAAGATAGGTAAAATTGTATCTATTTAATATATGTGAAAGATATATATATAGATGGAAATTATATATTATGCATGTATGTATATGGGAATATATTTATATGAGGTGTCTTCAAAAAGTTCATGGAAGGATTTGTATTAATCTTTCAATTCCATTTTTCCATGAATTTTTTTGAAAAAAAAATTCGTATGTGTGGGTTTTTATGTATGTGTGTTGGAGTGGAAAGGGTGAAATTCTGCTCACTTCTGCCAGCCACCTCCTTCTGGCTCTCCATCAAAGTCTAGGGCAATAAAACTACTGGTTTAAAATATTTTATTGGCTTCACAACATTCCATTTTATAAAATATAATTTACCCAATGATCTGTTTGGTGACATTTTGATTTTTTTCCAATTTTTGATATAATAACTTTGCCATGAGTGTCCTTGTAACTAAATCTGTACACACTTC